GGGGCTATTGAAAAAAATAATTCCCCGCTTTACACATTTTCGCAAAAGCACTTTTTTTTTTTTTTTTTTTTTTTTTGAGAACATTTTTCGAACAACATGACCCGTCCCCACAATAACACAATTTCTCCGGCCAGACTGTCGCTGGCAGCTGTGTGGGGCTTCCCCCTGGCTCCAGAGGTTTACTGCTTGCTGCGCCATTTCCCGGCGACCCCCTCTGGGGATGCTTCGCTCCCTCTCCTCCGCCCCCTGCTTGCAGCCGGTGGCTGGGTTTCCCCAGCTGGCCGGTCACTGGCAGCTGCTCGGGGCTTCCACTGCCTCCCTGCAAAGCGGCAGAGGTTCACTGCTCACCATGCCGTTCCCCGGTGATCCCCTCTGGCCGGAGGCTGGCGAGGAGGGGTCGCCTGGGAACAGCGTGGCAAACCTCCACCGCTGTAAGGAGGCAGGGGAACCCCCATGCAGCTGCTGGCATCTGGCTAGCTGGGGAAACCCAGCCGCCGGCTGCAAGCGGGGGGCAGAGGAGAGAGAGCGAGGCATCTGGCCAGAGAGGGTCGCCGGGGAACGGCACGGTGAATCTCCACCGCTTTGCAAGGAGGCAGGGGAAGTCCCGGGCAGCTGCCGGCAACCGGCCAGCTGGAGAAACTCAGCCACCAGCTGCAAGCCCCCTCCCCGCCCTTCTCCAGAGCCAAACACCTCCCCTCCCTGCTATAACTCAGTCCCCTTTCTCCCCCAACCTTATGTCCCGGTCCCAGCTGCTAACAAGTGAAGGCTGGAGCTGCGAGCACATATGGGCTTGAAACGCAACCCCCACCTTTTCCATTATTTTCAATGGGAAAATTGACCCTGCATAACACATTTTCACTTAGCACGATTATTTTCTGAAACGTATCTATCGTGTTAAATGAGGAATTACTGTAGTTGTGTAACAGCTAAAATTTGATGTGGTTACATGACTATTCACTTACATGCTATCTAACGTCTCTCCTGTCAGTTGTTGTACTGGTGCTAAATGAGGGTAATTGAGTGGGCTGTAAGAGTGCCATACTTAGCTTTGCATGTAGTATCTGTTATGCCCTTGATCCTGGTTAAGTATGAATAGATGGCTGAATACATTTTTCACCTAACATTCATGAGTTTATATCTTTATAATTAGCAATCAGATTTAGTCTAGGAATATTGACAACATACCTTGGAAGAAATGTATTGAGCACAACAGTTGTTATGATGGTGGACTAATATTATCACTAAAATTTCTGAAATGGGAGCTACAAGAGAAAGCTTGTATCCATTAATTAGCAATAACACCTACTTACCAGATTCCTGAAAGGTAAATCAATTTGAAGATTTCAGATAACAAAAGGTAACTGATCAGAGTACTGGTGTTTCTGTATTATCAGTCCAATGTGTAAAAGTAACATGTGGGGTACCTTATGGTGCTGGTAATCATGTAAAGATTTAATTTTATTTCTTACCTATCTGCTATGTCAGTAGCAGATCATTAAAATGCCAGCCAAACTTTATGGAAGGTAAATGTAATTGTTCTTGTGTGCTCTAGTTCTTTTCCACAGCAGCAATTCAGCCATCAAGGCAGCCCTACAACTTATAATATGATGCATATGAATGGCAGCAGTGGTCATATTGGACAAATGAATATTAACACCATGCCCATGTCCGGCATGTCTATGGGTCCAGACCAGGTAAGATAATTGTAACAATTCGCTCCAGTGATAAATAGTTCTGTAGAGATTTAGAGGTTTGGTCAGCCCTAAAGGTCTGGGTGGTTATAAGATCCTTTTATAGGTCCAAATCTCCTCTTTTCCTATTGATAACAATTGGTTCTCAAATTAGTCTACTTCCTCTCTCACGTTTTCAGTTCTTGCCGTCTCCCCCAGCCATTTGAGATTAAAGCTTTAATTTTCCATCAGTGGGTTCTATCTTACTTTGCTGGCATTTCACCAAGTCCATTCTGAAGCCTGGAAGTCTGCTTGTAGGTTAGCTGTTTCTTTTCAGGTATCTCATGATTATGGCTCAGAAGACACAATGATCACCGCATAAATAGCTTGGGGAAATTACAAAGACCAAAATACTTGAAATCGGCAAGTGTATCTGCTGAGATTTTGCAAATTGTCCACAAGACCATCTTCAATCTAAGAAAAAGATTTCAAATAGACTAAATTGATACATTTCACATTGGAGAGGGGGAGTAAAATCAAGTGAGCAGTTTGGTTTCCATATATGTAAAATGGTCAAAATGCCCTGTGAGGATTAAGCAGTTTATACTAGGTTAGGGCATTCACCTTGGTGGTGGGAGACCCAGATTCCAGAACTACTCCAGTGAATACCTAGCCACAATGTATTAGCTCCATCAAGAGTCACCGAGAGGGACCTGTCATAGAATGTCCCATGCACCAGTGGTTAGAGTATTTTTCTGAGAAATAGGAGAAGCAAATTCAAATTGCTACTTTGCATCAGACTTGTATCAGAAGAATTGAATCTGAGTTTCCCATATCTTGGGTGATTTCTCTAACTAATGTAATAAAAGTTATGTGGGGATGGGCACCATGACCACCTCCTTTCCCTATTTTGTGTGGGTTTAGATGTGCTGTGAGCATGCCACTGGATTAGGCCCTGATCATAGGTAAGCAGGGAAACACCTAGTTTGTGAATCCTGCTGGGTCTTCGGCATGAGTTAGGCTTCCAGCTGCTAAACAGCATCAGGACTTAGGTGGATGTGTGCTTGCCCAGCCATCAATATTTAGGCATCTTCAGGACTTTAACGGTGGAAACTTAAGTGCTTACAGGGTTAAGTGGCAGCCGAGTAGAAGTTTGTGAATACCAGTGGTGCCCATATTGTGGGACATGGGTGCTTTACTACCCCTTGTGAATTCCACCCTGGTGTTCTTCTGATACATGTGTTTTGTTTTCTTTTAACAGAAATACTGCTGACACCTAAAACCATGAGTTCCCAAAGCAGAATGATTTCTATTAATGAAGATGCACTAGTATTACAAAGAAAAGCTACATATTCTTCGTGGCAACTAGTACTGGCCTTATGGAAATAACTTTTTTCCAGCTGACCACCAAGATGTCCCAAGTGACTTCATAAAAAAGGACTTTTTTTTAGTAGAATCAGAGTCTCTGTATTACTGTATATTGTGGTGTACAAAACAATGATCATAAATATTTTTGGCACTCTGCCTCTAGAAATGTGAATTTGGGAATGGCATTTTAGTAAATATGATGGCTAGACTCTATGTATGCCACTTGTATTTACTGTAGCTATCCAAAGCCTTTAACTACAGGCAGGCTAAAGTGCCTGGAGAAGTCATGGTGGGTAAAAATATCTGACAGAGAATGTAGTTCCTAGCCTTGACTCTTATATTAATTTGGAAATTTAAATGCTGCTTTTAACCTCTTATCCCCAGGAGTCAGGATTTCCAAACAGGCAAAGAAAAATGAATTGGCATGTAATGTTCCATAATCCTGCCCACTGATGCCAACAGGTTACAGAGAAAATAAATTAATTATTTAAACATAGTTGTGACTAATTTAAATTTTGATGTGCAGCTAAATGCACTTTATAAAAGTCTATATAATGGATTAATGCAATATCATTGATAATAAATTGAAAGGTAGGGTGCATTGTTGATTGATAAGACTGTATACTGTAATGTTTTATGTTAATGGAAATTAGAGCAATAATCCTTCATGGTTTTTTGGATAAAAAAGAACCTTCAGAAAAATCAAGGCAAGGCACTGCAGTCTGAATCAGAATTTTGCAGGGCTTTTGTGAATAAATTTTGTAAATATGGTCTTTAAGATATTGTATTATATATATGACTTTTGTAGGTCACTAACTCATTTTTGCAGAGTTTGTGAAGCTAAATATTTAACAAAGTTGATTTCTGTAAACTCATCCTAGTTGAGGTCTAGATAGAAGACCTTTCCATTTTATTTTTAATTTAATGACTTTGGAATTGGGTGATTTTTTTTTTTTTTTTTTTGTGGCCCATCTTTTTTTTTCTTTGGTCTTTGCCACTTATTTTACATCTTTACCATAATAGCTTTTAAAAAAGATCCTTTGTTTAGGGTTAAGAAGTTGGTTAGTGTTTTCGCCACAGTAAGTGAGCACTTTGTTACATTTCATTTTTTCTATAGGGCAGTTTGACAAAAAAAAAATAAGTTCCCTGGATTGTAAACTGTTATGACTTGTCAGAACAGTTCATGTGGTGATTAATATATAGTTGCCTCCCCTATATATGTTTCTAAACATGCCTATTGGTAAGTATTGTTAATAACTTCTCCACCATTGCATCTTACAGTGAGCAACTCATTTGTAGTCACATGACATCCAGAAACCTTACTAAGACACAGTTTAACCAAATTGTCTGCTTCTCTTTGGTTCTTCTATTGTAATGAATGTATTTTCCAAACGAGTGTCTCTACTATCAGTATTCATGTTAGGTTACAAAACTATTCATCTTTATCCGTTGACAAGTTGTATTTTTTATCCATAAAACAATGCTATTACAGATTATCCACTTTCAGATAGACGACGATTGAAACATGGAAACGCCATAAGGATGTGAACCAGAAATGTTTAAGGCATGTGGTGCTTTTGCTCTATTGTTCATTGTGTAATGGAAAACAGACTTCTCCCGAGTGAGTGAAAATTAGTGATTCTTACAATTTCTTTGCTACTCTAAGTATGAAGTCATTTTGTTTTGCAGTACCATGAATGAATTTCCATGTTCTTCCATTTTAATATAAATAATTTTTAGTGCAAAAATTCACAAAAATAACATTCACCCTAAATGTACTGTCCTGTTCTATAATGCAGGTAGATGCAATAAAAAATCTCCTTGTTATACAGATCAGTCTCTGCAAATACTATTGAGAACATAAGATTTGGCTATATTAATTTAGTTGTTATTGCTCCTTAGTCTGGTTCAACTGTGTTGTAATCCATGCCATTTACAAACATAAGGATCTGTTTCCCTTTTCTTGCTCTTTAGAATCTACCTGCTGGTTGAGTCAGTGCAATGTAATGAAGTTAACAGGCAACAATCCCATGCTTTTTATATTAAATCAGAATAGAATGATTTTATATCTTGTTCGTTATATGATGGAAGCTGCAAACTTTAATTGCTTTGACTAGTGAAAACTTCAGCCTATCTGCTATTTTATGCATCTTGCCCTTAACTTTTTTTTAATTATTCTATTTATATTTCTAAAATGTGGTACCTAATGGATGTTACAAAGGCTCCTCTTCCCTTATCTGCTTTTAGAATGATGGTTTTTTCCAATAATTACTTTTTGCTGAATCCAAAGATTTGTTTTAATTCAAATATGATAAAAAGATAATGTCATCTAGAGTGACAAGTATGTTTACTTAACAAAATAGTCCTTTGATTTTTGGTAGTATTTTATATCTCCAACAACTGTGTTTTGGTTCTACTGTAAAGCAGAATAATTCAAGAAGCTTTATAATTATTTTTGACAGTAAGATCAAAGTTTACTAGTGTAACCAGTTGGATAACTACTGCATAGCAGGCATAGTCTCACTACTTGCCTGCCAGGTTTCCTGTTGTTTACAGAAACCATTATTTTATAAAATCCATAAGCAATTTTTTATTCACTCTCATCCTAAATTGTATTTTTAAAGTTAGGAATTCAAGCGCATTTACTTAAAGGTCTGAATAAAACTATTTGAATGTTGCACCAGTTCACACATTTTATTTTAGATTTTAAGTGCAGACTGATAGAATAATACAGTAGTTATGAAACCATATAATTCTGAGAGCAATATTTTTAAATTCTCAGGAGAAGGCACACAGTATTGAGAATTACATTTAAATTTAGTTTACATTAAATACTGCTTAAAAGGTGTGTATCTTTACATTGCAAAAACAAAACAAAAACTATGTGGGCTGATTTATAAAAGGGTTGGTTATAAAGTATTACTGCTCTTCTGAGTTTTGTGTTTTGATGTTAATAATAATGTAAATAAACGTTTCTATTTAAAACCTGAACTTGGTGATTTGGTATGTCAGATGTTTGAGCTGCCACATGTGCCAGTTATATTCTGTGGGCCAGCAATGTAGTATTTTTATATTAAACCAAAATATAGCCACTCTGGAGAAAGACTGTGGTAATGTAACACTGTTATATGAGAGAGGCTACATTTGAGGAATGTGTTTGAGTTCTTGGCTGGCTGCCTGGGTTTAGGTTAATCTCAGTGGCTGTGATGTATCAATTGCAGAGTTGCCTTTAAAATGGTCTTTCTGACTTTAAAAATAGTGCTCTGATAACTAGGAGGAAGGGTGAGGAAATAACTTCTGTTCCCAAGTTTTTGTTTTTCTTGCTATATTGTATACTTTCTGTCCTAGGGAAAATCACATTTTGAAAATACTTTGCCATTTTTTTCTGGAAATGTATATTCAGACTGTACTAAACTACAGAGAAAGTTCTGTATTTTATGGGTGTAGAGATGAAATTTTCAAAGTAATTCTGATTGGTGTGCAGTAGCATTGTTAACAGGAGTTGGCCTTTCAGGATTCTACCTTCTGCATGTGCAAAACTTTCTGCCAGATAAGCGAAATGTAAGTACAAACCCTTCGTGCTCATGAAGATTTTAATTTCCCTTTCTCTCCCCAGAGGGAACTGTACACAAATACATGTGCTTTCTTCTTCGTGAAAGGTCTGGAAAACAGTGAAGCCATAAATTCCTGAGAGAGACCTTTTCCATTTGCCACATACTTGTATCAGACTTTCACCATCCTTGTAAATGCCTTTTCTTGCTGGTGAATCCACTATAAAAGTCAGTAGAATCTAATATCTGACTGCATTTCCTAATCCAGCACACGCTCTACTTTTGAAGTACAAAACTCTTACAAGACAGTTTGGGACAATATATTAAATCTGACCAGGGATGATCGGAATTCAGGCTTAAATCAAATTTACTTTTCCAACCTTTACTTCAGCAAGTGCATTGTTTACAATACGCAAAAGACCATAGTCTACCCTTAAGAGCATTTATTTGCTCAACTTCCTATTTTCACATTCTACTTTTAGATTAAATATTATAATATTTATATATGGTGCTAGAGGTTTCCGACCCTAGCAAGTAATCTCTGTTGAAGCTTCCTATTAGTTAAAAAAAAATAATAATTTGCTTTTTAAAAACATGTTTAGAGGGACAGAGGTGCAAATTTGTCTTTTGGCTGGTCAGAGTTGTTACTATATAGGCAGTCACATTTTCCATTTTAAATCAGCATAATTCAAACTAGTGTGGAGAAAAGAACTGCTAAACAAATTCAAGATTTTTCCTTCTGCTGGTCTACAGCATGGGTGGGCAATATAGCAGTAGAAGCCCACCCCTGGTCTACAGCTCGATTTTTTTTAAATACTTAAAACTCATCATGTATAATGATAAATGTAAGGTGTAATGCACATTGGAAAAAATAAAGCCATCTATTCATACAATATGATGGGGACTAATTTAGCTACTCAAAAGAGAAATCTTGAGTCATCATGGATAATTCTCTGAAAATATCCACTCAATGTGCAGTGGCAGTCAAAAAACAAGCAATGTTAGGGATAGAGAATATATAAAACCGTGGTATGCGGACATCTTGAATACTGGGTACAGATGTGGTTGCCTCATCTAAAAAAGATTTATTGGCATTGGAAAAGGTTCAGAAAAGGGCAACAAAAATGATTAGGGTTTGGAATGGGTCCCATATGAAGAGATATTAAAAAAACAGGGGCCTTTCAGTTTACTAAAGAGGAGACTAAGGGGGGATATGATAGAGCGTCTATAAAATTGTAACTGGTGTGGAAAAAGTGACTGAGGAAAAGCTATTTACTTGTTCATATAACATAAGAACTAAGGGTCACCAAATGAAATTAATAGGTAGCAGGTTTAAAACAAACAAGGAAGTTTTTCTGCACACAGCGCACAGTCAACCTGTGGAACTCCTTGCCCCAGAGGATGTTATGAAGACCAGGACTTTAACAAGATTCAAAAAAGAACCAAATAATATTCATGGCAGTTCAGATCAATTGATGGCTATTAGCCAGCATGGGTAGGAATGTGTCTCTAGCTTCTGTTTGTCAGAAGCTGGAAATGGATGACAGGAGAAGAATTACGTGATGATTGCATTGTGTTCACTTCCTTTGGGGCATCTGGCATTGACCACTGTTTGAAGACAGGATCCTGGGCTAAATGAACCTTTGGTCTGACCCAGTATGGCTGTTCTTATGTTAGCACCACATTTGAAGTTTTGCACATGATGTGGCAGACAAGCATGAATGCTAATTTTCAGTGCATTTGCAAAGCCTTTTTGGAGTGTAGTTATAGAAATATTCACATGTACTATGGTATACATGATAATTTATTACTTTGTTCCCTTTCCTAATACTTACTGCAGATTTATAAATATTAACTCAAAAATTCTCGTTTCCTGTACTCTGAGCTATAACTTTTATTGGCCATGATTGTTTTTTACATTTGTAAAAGTTATACCACTTAGCGAACATGTGCTTTCTCAAACAAATTGTTTTGATTTTGAACATACAATATAATCTTACCACATAAAAAGACTTTATACAAATCTGATTTCATTAAAATTCAAGACATACATTAACTGCAATTTTGCAGAGCTTTTAAAAATGGATTAAATTCTGAAACTTATGTAATGTTTAAGTAACAAGGTACCATTTTGAGAAACAATAGTTGGGCATTCCACTTTTTTATTAATAGAATTCTTCACAACTTGAAAGAATTTCTTTTGAATGAGACATTAATAAGTATTTACAGAACCATTCATCAATCTGGCTTTATTACTCAAGAGATTTTCTTACAGCTGGTAATAAGGTGTCCATGTAGATAGTGAACAGAAATTATATCCTTAAAGGAAACTTGAAATATTGTGCTGGAGAGCATTTTCAGCTGCTGCTTCTTCAGTGCTGTTTGTTCGAATTCCTGAATCTCTACATAACATTTTTCTACCACTGTCCTCATTTAATTTGCCCTAGAAATGTCCACATTGTTTAAATCATGCTTTTCAGTTAAACTTAGCTTTGCATCTACTTCAATAACATTTGACAGTGTAGCTAAGAAGATTTTAATTTGTTTCCACTGAAATAATTTTGTGGGTGCTCTGAGCTTCGAAGAGTTAATTAACTCATGTGGTAGCCTTATCTTTCTTTTCCATCAATTCCTTGCACAGTGTTAGTGGTGACTTTGTGAAGTATAATCCAAAGCAAAAGCAGGTGCAATAGTGGATTTCAAGAAGGGAACTATATAGTCATGACGGTCCCCCAAACTTCACTATCTATTTAATTCACTCAACAGTGCAAACATTCTATCTACTTCAACCTCAAAAGTTCATCCAGTCCTCCAGGCTAACATAATTCTTTCTGAAATCATACACATTTTTGTTAAGTCTGTACAGGATTCAAGTTCTGGCCGGTTTGTATCCTCATTGAGGTCCAGCAGTTGCAGGAGGTTAGCCTTCCCATCCTTCCCACAGTTGTCCTCTTTAAACAGAATAAACATAGTTTAGTGTATGTGCCTTGTCATATGCTGGGATGTGAAGTATTTGCAAATGTAAGTTTTTCTCAGTACTGCCATGCAGGAAAGATAATTTTTAACTCTGGGCCATTTAAAACCAATTTTGTGGAGAACGTGGTATAATAGCCTCTTAAAATGAAGCCTAAAAATGTTAGCTAAAATAAAGTGTAACATTGACCATATATCCTTTAAGTTGATAGCCATAAATAGAAGCTTAAATTTGAAACATTCTTCAATATAGTACTCTTTAGTTCTAAAGCTGATGTCACCATTTTTAAAATTGCAAGTTAGTTTTGTAAAGTTTTATTTCTGATGGAGTTTAAGGGTAGAGTTATGAATTAACTTGATCTATCTAACATACTTATATGGCCCCCATTCTCATAATATCTGAGTGCCTCACACTCTTTAATGGATTTATCAGCTTCACAAATTTGGCAAGTGCAATTCTCAATTATTTTCCAGATAAGGACCTGAGTCAGAAGGGGTAAGTGACTTGTCAAGGGCCATTCAGAAACCTCATGCTATTTTAATTTTCTTGCAGATCTGTCCCCATTTTCAGACTCTGGCAGGTTGAGAAGTATGATAGTTCTGAATTAAAGGAGGAAGACACATTCAACAAAAAGAAAAACACAGGGTTCTAGCAGAATGTCAGAAAAATATTTAAGTAGATTTTGCAGTAAAGTTATTTTTTCAGAATAGTTTGGGTAATTCAGTCTTGTCCCCTCCTGCTCATAGTACATAGGCCACCAGTGAAATAGTAGGATTGTGTCTGCAGTGGCCAGCCCCTCCCCCAGTACTTCTCTGCTCAATGAGATCCAGCTTATGTGACTGACAGCCTTGCCTCAGGCCATCCTGAGTTTACATCTCAAAGAGAGGGAGCTGCTGACAAGACTAAGATTATGCTAGTACCAAGGGGGAAAAACCTGATCCTTAAACTGAGGGAATTAGCCTGCTTTCCTTTGCTTGAGTTGGCAATTCTGCTGTTCTTGGCTGCTATGCCCAGAAGGCAGTTGTGAATAAGGGATTTTAAGTATGTATATTTGGCAAGAAGGTTGCAGCCTTTCAAGTGTGATTTAGAATTTACAACCGTGAACCACATCTGTATCACCTCATGACTGAAAAAACTGCATGTGTTTCATAGGATTGCAAGCTGAAATTATTTAGAAACATGCTGGTACAGACTGCCCTCTTGTTGGGAGTGTGTTTCATCTGTGCTCCACAATAGCTCCTAATATCTTTGCTTTAATGTTTATATTTTTAAATAGTCTTCTGCCTCTTGCAGTTAATCTAGGGTATTACTAACTCAATATTTGCACCAGCAAAAGTTTCATGATGACCAACTTAGCACCCAAACTGAGGGTTTTTGATGAAAGTTGTGTACCTACATTTCAAGTGCACATGGTAGAAAATAGGTAAGTAATGTAGACAGTTTGAATTTTTAACCTCCAATACAGCAGCAATTTTAGAATACAGGCAGTCCCCGGGTTACGTACAAGATAGGGACTGTAGGTTTGTTCTTAAGTTGAATTTGTATGTAAGTCGGAACTGGTACATATTGTAGGGGAAACTCTAGCCAAACATTTCTCCAGAGCTCAGTCTTATTCTTCCACACCTCACTTCCCTCAGTCTTTTATTCTCAAGCTGAGGTGTCTACTGAGAAAAGCCGCTCCGCGTCTCCCTGGTCTGCTGAGGGTGGGTGCTAGCTTTGCGTCTCCCTGGTCTGCTGGGGGGAAGCAGCTAGTGCAGGGTTGCCTCACCCCGTTTGTAAGTAGGGATCTGATGTAAGTC